GGCCCTGCCTCCAGCTTCTCTCCTCCCCAGGGCAGGCCTCCACCCCGGATCTTTTCCCACACGGAAGGCTGGGCTTGGGGTCCAAGGGACTTGTGGACAGAGGGCATGGGCAAGGACCACTGGCCTGTCCTCTTTCAGGCCCATCCGTCGTGGGTAGGTGATGGGCCAGGACAGTCTCCCAGCTGTGGCGAGGCCTGCTTCTGGGTGGCTTGTGCAACTGACAGGCTCACCTGGGCCTTCCCGGGGGAGGAAAGGCCTGGTAGCTGACAGTCCCTGAGCAGCGGAGGTGGGGTGGGGCGGGGCCCCGAGGCAGGGCGGGGGCCCTGGGAGATAAGCCATCCTGAGCAGCATTGTTCAGGAAACCACTTCTCCTGGCCTGCCTGCTCCCAGCTGGTGCTTCCCGTAAGCTCCCTGGTTCCCAGCTCCCTAGCCGCTAGGACGGCTCTGTCAGAGCCAGGGCAGCATGAGCCGTGCCAGGCACATGGGCAAGATCCGGAAACGCCTGGAAGATGTCAAGAACCAGTGGGCCCGGCCAGCCAGGGCCAACTTCCACGACAACGAGAGTGCCCGGCTGGCCACAGATGCCCTCCTGGACGGGGGGCCTGAGGCGTATTGGCGGGTGCTCAGCGAGGAAGGTGAGGTGGACTTCCTGTCTTCTGAGGAGGCGCAGTACATCCAGGCCCAGGCCAAGGAGCCCCACTGCAGTCCAGAGGCCCATGGGGGGACCGAGGCGGGCCCCAGAGGACATGACACGGCCTCCCTGCTGTCGGGCACCTACTTCCCCATGGCTTCGGATGGCAGCGAGCCGACCCTGCTGCATAGCTGGGCCTCGGGCGAGAAGCCCTACCTGAAGGAGCCGTCCAGTGCCACTGTGTACCTGCAGACGGACAGGCACAGCAACATCCGGGATCTGGTTCGGCGCTGCATCACTCGGACCAGCCAGGTAGTGGGTCTGGGTCTCCTTGGCCACCAGCTGGGGTGTCTCCTGTGGAGCTGGGAATCAGGGGGCGGGGGAGGGTGAGTCCCTCTTGATGAGTGAGCATCTACAAGGTTGGGGTTTAGGTTGGTGTTGAAGGCGCTGATCTCTGCCTGTCCTGGTCCCTGATTCCTGGTCCCACTAGTCAGCCCCTGGGTCCCCCTAGTCAGCCCTTCCTACTTGCCTCTCCTCTGCATCCCTACCATCCAGCCTCCCAACTCGGCACTATAAGGAGCCCTGGGCTGCTAACCACAAGGTGAGCCATTCAAATCCACCAGCCACTCAGAGAGGGAGAAAGACGAGGCTTTCTACTCCTGTAAAAATGTATAGTCTGGGAAATCTACTGGGCCAGTTCTGTCCTGTAGGGTCGCTATGAGTTGGAACCGACTTGATGGTGGGGAGTTTGGTGTTTTGATACCTAGATCGAGCCTTTTCCTGCTTGGAATAAGGTGACCAGACGTCCCGCTTGTGGCGGGACAGTTCCGATTTTTAACAAATTTTCCTGTATCCCGTGGCGTTTTTAAAAAGTCCCAATTTTTGGAAAGAATGCACGACAAGCTAAGGTAGACGGTTTTCGGCTGCCATGTGGCTATTTCGCCAGGATATGAGTTTTATCAATGGTGTCCCGCTTTACCAATGTTAAAATCTGGTCACCTTAGCTTAGAACCTTCATGGTCTCCTGGTTACCCCTAGTGGCAGGGTTCCCACTCTGTCCGGCTCCTCTCACCTACCTCCTTCCTGGTCCCTGTTGGTCTTCCTGTGTTTACTCACCTTGTCTCCTCTGCCGGCGACCCCTCAGCTTCCCTGCTTTTCCTCAGGGGTCCTGGCAGGACTGGGGGTGGAGGTGGGGGACTGGGTGGTACAATTCTCACCCTCCATGTGAGACGCCTGAGTTCGATTTCCCACCCAATGAGCCACCACCCACCTGTCCGTGCAGGCTTGTGTGCTGGTTGGATGCTGAAGAGGGTGCAGTGGAGCGTCTAGAGCAGCGGTTCTCAACCTGTGGGTCGTGACCCCTTTGGGGATCAAACGACCCTTTCACAGGAGTCACCAGATTCATAACAGTAAGCAAAATTACAGTTACAAAGTAGCAACAAAACCAATTTTATGCTTGAGGGGGTCACCACCACATGAAAAACTGTATTAAAGGGTTGCGGCATTGGGAAGGTCGAGAACCACTGCTCTAGTGTAAGCTGGACCAGGAAGGAAGGCCTGGTGATATTCTCCTGAAGATCAGTCCACTGAGGCTCCAGGACCCTCAGCTACCCAATCCCTGTCTCCGGAGATTTTGTTACATTTAAAAGAACTCACAAAAGAACATGCAGATATTGAAGCTCGTCTGTGTGTGTGTGTGTGTGTGTGTGTGTGTGTGTGTGTGTGTATCCCAGTCTTCTGATGAAATGCCCTCCTGAGCCCAATACTGTCTGAAATCTTAAACCAAAGCAGCTGCTGTCAGAGTGGAGCCCTGGCCCCAGGTTTGTCAATGGTCAAAGTGGATCTGTGTCCCCAGGACTGTCGATGGTCAGAGTGGACCTGTGTCCCCAGGACTGTCGGTGGTCAGAGTGGGCCTGTGTCCCCAGGGCTGTCGGTGGTCAGAGTGGGCCTGTGTCCCCAGGGCTGTCGGTGGTCAGAGTGGACCTGTGTCCCCAGGGCTGTCGGTGGTCAGAGTGGGCCTGTGTCCCCAGGGCTGTCGGTGGTCAGAGTGGACCTGTGTCCCCAGGGCTGTTGGTGGTCAGAGTGGGCCTGTGTCCCCAGGGTTGTAGATGGTCAGAGTGGACCTGTGTCCCCAGGGCTGTTGATGGTGGGCTTTTCAGATGGAGCTCAGCGGGCTTTTCTTCCGAGGCACCGGGGTGTGGACTTGAACCCCAACCTTTTGACTAGCAGCTGAGCATGTGAACTGTTGGCATTATTCAGGGATTCCACCCTATAAAAAGCCACCAAGAATAGATAGGCTTAAAGTTCTGTAAAAAGCCACCAAGAATAGATAGGCTTGGGTGGGTTCTAGAAAATTAGCATTGAAGGTAGTAAAGGGCTGGGTATGGCTTTTTGTGTCTGTGTTAGAGTTTTATTTCCAGTGTCCAGTTTTCATGGCAAGTGGCCATGGAGGCTGATGGGGGATCCACAGACACCAGGAGCCTAACCTCCTCAGGTCTCAGGTCCCCGGTGGTGTGTCCTATTCAGTGCTGTCCCCAGGAACAGGGTGGGACCACAATTGCCTGGAGAAGGCTGCAGGAGGCGCTCGGGGAAGAAGCCAGGCTGCACAGTGCAGGCAGTTCCCCGGGCTGTGTCCCCTTCCCCCTGGCTCCCCTCCCCGAGTCTCCACCCAGCAAAGCGCTCCCCTTCCCTCCTCTCAGTAGGGGAAGCCACTCACAATGTCACCTATCTGAAGATTTCACCTTTGGACTGCTAACCACAGGTTGGTGGATCAAACCCACCAGCAGCTCCATGAGCAACTGCCAACTCCCGCAAATATTTAGTCTCTGGAAACTTGGGGAGCAGTTCTATGGCTTTGGCTTGGTTCGGAAGGCCTGGTTCCCCAGGTGCTGGGGGGTGGCCGCCCCTTGGGGCCTGACCCTCTATCACAGTCCCCGCAGCTCTCTGCTGTCCCAGCTCCTCGTTGGGGTCACCCGTTTTGTTGCTGCTGGTCAGGACAGACGCTCACCACCAGCCCAGAGACCACCGTGTGCCCCCACCATCCTTCCCCACACAGAGGTGGAGAGAGGAGACCAGGGACCGAAGCTCTCTCTTCTAAGGCATCTGTCTTTGAGAGGGAATCTCTGGGTGGATTCACTCTGCCAACCTTTCAGTTAGCAGGCAGGCGACCTAGCCATTTCACTGCCGAGAACTTCACCAGGGAGAACCAACTAACAAGACCAAAGTAGTTGCTCCCCGGGCTGCATGTTTGAGAGAGCTGCGCCACCCAGGGCTTTCCCTCCCGGGCATGCAGGGGGGCGATTGCTAGAGCAGCCACCATGGGCATTCCGAACGAACGGTCTGCCTCAGAGGAAAGGTCTGGCAATCCATTTCCAAATCATGAGCCATCGCCAACCCAGCGGAGGGCACCTCTGCGCTGACACACATGGGTTTGCCAGGAGTGGGAATCGAGCCCACAGCAAGTGTTTTCTTCAGCCCATTACACCTTCTACAAGGAGTCCTGGTGGTTTGGCCTTGGTGGGGGTGGGGCACTGTGGTGGTTTGGGTAGACTAGAGAAACAAATCCATAGATACCCACATGTGTGTAAGACAGAGCTTTATATGCAAGAGCACTTGAATACTGAGAAAATGTCCCAGCCCAGTCCAGAAGAAGTCCATAAGTCCAAGATTAACCCATATGTCCAATACCAATTTATAAAGTTCTCTTCAGACTCACGAAATACATGCAATGACACCGAATGCAGGAAGATCACAGGCCAGTGGGTGCAAAGTCTTTTGCACCCAGGGGTGGTGGAAGCATCTCAGTGCTGGTGTGAGTCTCCACATGGCTCCTCCATCTCCAGGGCTCTAGCGTAGCTCCATGCGGCTGGTCATCCGGAAGATGAAACAGAGAGTGTCTGTGTGTATCTGGTCCGCAGTGAGCTAATGAGGTCATCAAGCTGGGACCTGATTAACAAGCTAGACTCCACCCCTTTGCCAGTTGACAGGAGATTATGTAACTGCCACAAGGGTCTCCCTCATTCTCCCTGGTCCTCCACCTGAACAAACACAGGGTCCTTTTCCTAGTGGTTTCTTTGGGGTAGAAACCAATGGGATGTGTTGAGGCTGGAAAGACCAGGAACCACCTCCCTCATCCCCTGGATCCCCTTCCTTAAACTGTGCTGAGGCAGACCCCTCCAGACAGGCTCCCCTCTTCTCCCCACCGGGGGGTGAGGGGTGGGGGACACCGGGCCTCAGGAAGCTCCTGGCCCTCACTCTGGTGGTCAACAGCCCCTCTGCCCTGGCCTAGGTCCTGGCCATCCTGATGGACGTGTTCACGGATGTGGAGATCTTCTGTGACATTCTGGAAGCGGCCAACAAGCGCGGCGTGTTCGTCTGTGTGCTCCTGGACCAGGGAGGCGTGGAGCTCTTCCAGGAGATGTGTGACAAAGTGCAGGTCTCCGACAGCCACCTCAAGGTAGGGTCCTCCCTCGGCATCGGCCAGCAGGGAGCAGCGATGCCGCGGTGCCGGAGCCCCTCCCCTCACCAAAGTGATCTTGCTCAGCGGCCACTGTAGATCTGACGGCCTCTCCCGTGGTCTCGGGGCCCCACCAGAAGTAGAGTGACAGGGAGGAGCAGGATGGAGGATTCCATAGGATGTTTGCGGGCCTGGCCCAGAAGGGGTTCTCATCACTTCCTCCCATCTCCCACCGACTGGAGGTGAGGCCTCCCTGGGTGCATGGGGGAGGGAAGTGTCAAAGGGCCCAAGGGTACCTGGTGAGCCACCATCTCCATCGGGTCATGGTCTCCTTCTCACAGCAGGGGGTACATTTCTCGGGAAGGACAACCCTGGGGCCTGCTAGATGCCTGTTTAGAACTCCTCCTGGCCCCACACCTCCCTCTCCTGGCAAGGAGAAAATCCAGAGAGGGGCTCATTAAACCACATCAAGTTGAGCAGCTAAGGGAAGGCCGAGCATGAATCCACCCAGAGCGTTTAGGAGTGCCCTCCCCCCCCCCATGGAATGGTGAGGGCCTGTCCTCTGGGGTCCCTTGAGGATTCTTCCAACTCAGCCAGGCGGGACCCCTCCTCCTCTATCTCCATCTTCATCTCTCTCCTTGTAGACCAGGATGCAGTGGAGTTCAGGGCTCCTTCCTGGTTCCCAGACCTCAGGCCTCCTTACCATAGGGTCTGCTTGATCTTACCTGGCTCGCACCTGGGAGATAAGGCATGGGCGTAACGGAGGACTTGCCCCGGTGGACCCCACAGTCTCCTGAGCTCGGACAGAGCTGCTGGGGAGGGCCAGTTGGTGAGATGGAGCGGGGAGCTGCTGGAGGCACGGCAGTGACCACCAGGGGGCCCGTCAGACCACGGCAGGCAGTATGCCAACACCTTCCTCAGCCTTGACATTGCAGAAGTGCCTCAGTTCACCCGTGCTTTCATCTCTCCAGCCTTCCAAGGGGTCCAGCCCAGGTCTGGGGCTGCATTGCTGCCGGGGAGGAGAGGGACATCAGAAGGCATGGCAGGGCATGTGAACCGCCTCCTCTTAGAATCATCCAGAGGCCATGGAGCTGTCGTCTCTGGTGCGAACAGGCTCCCTTCCCCGCAGACCAGAGTGGCCTCAGGGACCTGCCTGCGTCCGAGCAGCTGTCAGAGCTTCTGTGGTCCCCGGGGGTCCCCTCCGTGGCATCGGGCCGGAGTCCTGTTTTTATGTGCTGCCCTGTTTGTAGTCTAGTCCCCGTCATTGCCCAAACGAGGCGTAGTCAACTGCCCAGGACCCACCTTCCCACCCACCAGAGATAAAACCCCTGCTGATGTCTCGATGAACATCCTTCCAGACGTTTCCCCGGGCAAGTGTCTGTCGAGAAACGCACAACTCGGGCCTTTCTGTCCACAGAACATTTCCATCCGGAGCGTGGAAGGGGAGGTGTATTGCGCCAAATCAGGCAGGAAGTTTGCCGGCCAAATCCGGGAGAAGTTCATCATCTCGGACTGGAGATACGTCTTGGCGGGGTCCTACAGGTGAGTGGCGGGTTTCACCTCCTCCCCCCCGGCTTCCAGGAGGCCCAGGGTGGAGCGTGGGGCAGGTCAGCCCCAGACACACCAGCCCCCTGTCCGTGGCTCCCAGGAGAATTGCACCAGGGCATTCTGGGAAGGTGCCAGGCTGGGCTGAGGGTGAAGTCTGAGGACAGGTATGTAGGTGGAGAGGCCCCCTGCCCCCTTGGAGGCTGCTCTAGGACACAGGATCCTGCTTCCCACCTCAGAGCCCTAAGGCAGGATAAGAGCCACAGGATTTGTTTGGTTTTTGTGCGAGTGCGCTTGTTAGGTTGACATTTTAGTTTTGCAACAACTTAATGGGTTCTAACCCACCCACGTACCATGTCTCATTCGGTGTATTTTGCGCACATTCCCAGAGTTGGGCCTCCATCTCTCTGTCACTGCCATTAAGCCCGTTCTGACTCAAAGAGAGTCCTTAGGGCATTGTAGAACTGCCCCATGTGGGTTTCCAAGACAGCGGCTCTTCACGGGAGTAGAAAGCCTCGTCTTTTCCCCGATGGTTTTGAACTGCTGACTTGCGGTTAGTAGCCTGACACGTAACCACGGCACCACCAGTCCAGTCCATCCACCACAACCATCGACGTGAGAACGTTTTCATCAATCCAAAGGAAGGGCAGGACCCTTAGCAGTCACTCTCTGCCCAACTCTGCCCCATGCTGCAACTGTCAGTCCCCTTTCTGTCAGACCCCGGCATTTGAGACCCATGAAGTCATACAAGATGTGGTCTAACGTTTCCCTGGATCCAGGCCCTTGCGGGGTGGCATGCAGGGGTACCCCAGGCCTTTGGACTGTTCAATAGGCCTGCTAGGGTCAGTAAGGGTGCACCACCTCTGATGTGTCCACTTTGCAGTTGATGGACACGCAGGTTCCTCCCACTTGGGGGCTATGATGGATAACGTTGCTAGGGGGTTTTGTGTGAACAGATAGGTCCAAGGCTCCTGGATAGGTGCCTAGGAGTGGAATTACTGACTGGATTATTAACCACAAGGCCAGGACTGTATACCTACCCATAGGCACCTTGAAAGTAAAGTCTAGCCACCTGCTTCTGACAGGTCCCCGCCTTGAGGCTGTCACAGAGGAGACTGACTTCAAGGCAGCGCAGGCTACAAAGGCTCTGGGTGACACAGCAGTTTTCGGCCACGTGGGCGGACCATCTGACGCCTCTCCCAAGAGCATGTGGGCCACAGTGATTCTAGGGCAGAATCCTCTCCTTCCTTGAGGAAGACGGTTCGAGTCCCAGGACTGGGGGTGGCCTGCACGGAAGTTAGGAAGATGAGCAGTCATCAGGAAAATGGGAACTAGATTAGGAAGAAAGCAGCCAGACAAGGGCCATCTGGGGGTCCGATTGAAGATGGCCTAGTGTCCCCACACCAAAGCCCAGATGTTGATAACACAGAAGCCCTTCTTTAAAAGGACCGGCCCCCCAAATGGAAATGAGGGTTAACCCCTCCCAGCACCCCACCAGCTGCACTTGGCCTGACTGAGGAGTCCTTGGCTGGGGCTTAGGCAGGTCTGAGAAGCCAGGCAGAGCGAGTGGGAGGTGGCGTGTGCGTCTTTCATGGAAGCCCGGTTGGAGCGTCACACCCGGGGAGGGTTGGGAGGGCACTTCCGGGAAAGCCGGAGAGGCCGTCACACCTCAGGCGGGTTTCAGTCAAGCTGGAACTCATCCCCCAGATCAAGCTCCCGGCCTGTTTCCTTCAGCGCCTTAATCCTCTCAAGACCAAGTTAGATTCTGCTCTGAATTGCTAAAGCTAGTGGAAGGCATTTGGAATGAAATGGAAAAAAATTTTTTTTAATTTTGAGGTAATATGGATTTTGATAGTGGGACACATAGGCCCCAAGGGTTTCTGGTGCTCAGGTTGGTGGGATGAGGGTCGTTCCCCGACCCCAATCATGCTCCCACTAGATGGCAGCACACTTTGAAGATAGGATAGAAGCTTCCCACTAGACCCCCGAGTTGGAAAATGTAAGTGGGCAATAGATGTCCCATGGGTCACAAAAGGGCTAAGGAAAACACAATGTTTATCTCCAACCTTTGGGGGCACAAATGGATTGCCCCACTCTTTCTGTTGAGTCGATTCTGGCTCCTAGTGCCCTGTGGGGTTTCTGAGGCTGGAATCTTTGAGGGAGCAGATTCTTCTGTGGAGCTACTGGTGGTTTTGAACCAAGAAACTTTCAGGTAGCAGCCAGGTGATTAAGCCAAGAAACTGTCTTATATTTCACTTTCTCCAGGAAGAACAAGATTTTGAGTTTATTCTGTGCCCCTCCACTATTCATTTTTCTGGACCTGTTTCCTCATCCAGGAAAAACCGGGGGTGGGGTGGGGGGAGGGGAAGCAGGGCAATGATAATAATACTTCATATCAGTGTTTCCCAAAGTAGGCAATAGCACCCACTGGGGGGCTAGGGGTGCTAAATCAATCCAACGGGGGCTGCAAAAGCAGATACCTACACTTTATCCTGGATGATGGGCTATGGGCTAAAACATTTTTAATTACTAAGAGGGGATTGAGTAGTGCTCGTTGTCTTGTTTTCTTTTCTAAAAGATAAGGTTGGGAATCTGTGTATGATTGCTGTGAGAATTCATACCATAATCAGCAGGAACAACTACACAGCTGGGGTCCAACATTTAGGACACACTCAGGAAATGTCACTGTGTCAGGCAGTTTAAGATGGTAGTGGGACTCTTACTGTCTCCTTGGCTGTGATCACTGCACAGCAAGCAGGTGATGGTGGATTTTACAAGGCGGGCTGGCCACAATCGCTATCACTAGAATTCTGTTGCTGAACACAGGCCTGTTACAGAAACCGGTTTGACCTCATCTGAATCAGACAAGAGCCGTTGTTCCAATAGCAAGTAATCATTTATTATTTGAGAAGCATTCTTCCAGGTGGTAAGAGCCCTTCATCCACCACGTCCCTTCTACAGAATTTGTAAGAGGGAAGAAGCTTATCCATCATTTCCTCCTGCCCCCTCCATTCCTTGGATGCAGGAGC